AGGCTCGGACTGCATCTCGCGTCGACCGCCTCGACCGCGAGGCCCTGGCACAGCGACTTCGGCCCCTCTGGCCGCCGACGGCGGCTGCTGCTGGGCGGGGGCTGCGGCGCGGCTGTCGGCGCTGCGGCCTCCCCCGCGCGCGCGGCGGTGCTGCGCTCCACGGCTGACACTCTCGGAGCCACCGCGGCCACCTCGCCCAGCGACGACTCGGCGACTGTGGGAGCGCGAGCGCCCCTTGGCGGCGTCCTGCAGCGCCTGCTGGCTCAGGCGGAAGGCCATGCGCACTGCCTGCGCCCGCTGGGGCGCGTCGCGGCAAGGGCTGAGGCGCGCGCCGCTCGAGCAAGTGCACCTGCAGGGCCGCGAGGTCCTCGAAGGCCCCCCCCCATGGAACATGCGAACTCAAGGGGCCTGGAACCTGGCATGAGGGCTGAGACCGCAATGGAAGCCAGGGGGCACATCAGGGACTGGGGCTCCTCAACCTGGTGGAAGTAGGGCGACCGCTGAACTGGGCATCGGCGATTCAAACAGGCTGCGACCGCATGCTCCTGAGCAATCCGACGAGTCCTGAATGCACTGGAGCAGAACAGACATTGGTTGGTGACGACAATGGAGTGAAGAACGGACCGACAACCATGGCCTGGATTTGTCAGAAGTTTCTGGTGAGCGATCAGCGCGCGCCGAGTGGCGAACTCGCGCCCGCGCACGACGCCCTCGGCATCCAGCAGCTCGCAGCTCCAGGCCGCCGTCGGCGACGGGGGCACCCCCGCGCCGTCAGCAGGCGGACGCCAGCCAGGCGGTGGGGTCGCCACAGTGCGCGCTTGAGCGCGCAGCAGACCAGGGCCCAGCGCCAGGTAGCCGTCGCGCAGGTCCTCGCAGGAGAACAGCGCGATCACGTTCAGCGAGCCGCCAGGCGTCCGCAGATCCTCGCGAAGCTCCGCCGCCTCGGCGGCCCCCAGCAGAGCCTCCACGTCCGCGACGAACCGCAGCGCGTGCGGGTTGGCCCCGCCCGAGACGGAGCCGTCCGAACCGAGCGTAGGTGTCTGTTCGGGCGGCAACTCCCCGAAGACGACCGCGAGCTCCTGTGGGCGCCGCTCGGGTCTTCGCAGCCAACGCTGGCATTGGCGAAGTCGCCGAACGCGGAGCTCAGTAGCAGCCGGGGCATTGCGGAGCCTCCTCAGCACGCCCTCGTCCGTCACGGCCTTGTACTTCAGCAGGGGCTTCCCAGCTGCGTCGAACTGCGGATTGCCGTCGCCGTCGACGATGGGGGGCTTCTGACACGCAGCGCCCGACAGCAAGCGTCAACCCAAGCTGGAAAGGGCCCTGTCGAGCTGCTGGCGCTGCGCCGCGCTGAGAATGAGGACGTTCATCCCGCTGAGTGCCGCCTCCTGCGCGACTGAGCCGAACGCAATCCACGTCAGGCGCCAGACGCGGTTCCTCGACCAGAAGCGTCCCATGCTGTAGTATCCCCTGCCCTAAGGGCAGCTTGCAGCCGACGCCGAAGCTCCGTCTGCGCGCTGCCCGCGATGGAAGTCTGGATGCCGAGGGCCACATTGTCGTACTGCACAGCACCCGCGATAGCCTCCGAGCCGCCGAAGTGCTGCCGCGCCTCCTGCTGGGCGCCAGGGCCCACGAAACAGGGCGAGACGGAGCTCTTGGTCGGCTTGCGCGCGTAGCCGCGGGGCCCCAGCGAGCGGCGCAGCTCGAAGTGGGAGCGCCGTGAAACGAAGCCCGCGTTCCTCGCGGAGACGACCGCGCTCGCGCGGTTCGTGTCGTCGGCGTAGATCCCCGTGCCAAGCGGGGCCGCGGCCTCGAGCAGCGGGCACCGCGCAGTGCAAAGGGCCTCACTAGGCCAGATCGTCGCGTCGATGTCAGCGCGAGGAGCAGGAGGAGGGAGAGGATAACGCTTCCACTCCTCGTAGGTGATCGGGAGGGCGGGCGTCTCGTAGGCGGCCCAGCCGGCAGCTCGCAGGCGACGCAACCAAGTCCTGGCGAAGAAGAGCGCTGCGGACGTGTCGCCCATGAAGGCGCCGCAGCGATTGTGGAGATCCTGATCGCCGTCAGCCCCGAGGACGCGGAAAGTGCTGAGCTCGCGCCGCTGGTGGAAGTAGACCTGCTCGTCGGGGCGAACCGCCACCTCGACCGTCTGAAGGGGGCGCCGCGCGGCTGGAAGAGCCGAAGGCGTCGCTCATGTCCTCCTTCGTCGCGAGAGTCGACATCCCGAGTCTGCGCGGGCGACCGAGGGGCCGCTCGTCAGGTGGGGCCCGCTGAAGCTGGGCCTTGTACCAGGCCGCGCCAGCCCTGCAGAGGCCGTGGATGAAGCGCTTGGAGCTGAACTCGGTATTCCGGTTGTGCTTGTCTAAACCCGTGGTGACCGAGTTGTGCCAGATCAGCGGCGCACGCTTGACCCGTCTCACATGCGCGAGGATGGTCTTCAGAGCCCGATCTGCGATGGGCGCGTCGATTTCCTCGCCGTCCGTGCCGAGGCCGCGACGATCACCTGCAGGTCGATGTCGGGGTAGAAGCTCTGAGCGCGGCCTGCGAGGAGGTTCATCGCCCTCCCCGTCGGCATCCTCAGGCCGTCGTGGCCGTTTGCGTCGAGACTTACCATCACATCGTCTCCAGGGTTCTAAGGCAATCCGTGGAAATTCCGTCGGTACACTATGAGGAGGGGCAGCCCTGCGACGCGACGACTTCGAGATCACGTCCAGCAGCTTCTCCAAGCAAACTCCAGGTGGTCGCGCGCAAACATCGGGGCCCTTGGAAGCTCCTCCAAGCACTGCTGGCGGCGATACGTCTCGAAGTCGATCGGGGCCGCCCCCAAGCCTCCAGCGGCGCCAGCCTGGGCGAAGTAGTTCACGATCTCGGCGCGCGGCGGCAGGAAGCTGCCCCCGACGTTGTAGCGCCGCCTGCGGGGGCCACGGCACGGAGCAGCAAGCTGGTGACTGAGGCGCCACACCTCAGCGAACTGCCGCTTCTGCCAGGCCTCGTGCATGTCGTCGACTAGCAGCTCACGACGATGCGCCCGCAGACGACGGGACGCCCGCGCGAGACTGAATGCCAGCGCCTCGGGATCGCCACCAGCTTCACGAACGGCCCGGCGGTCTGCAAGCAGTTGGAGTCGCTCTTCACGCAGCCGCTGCACCCGAGGGGCCACAGGAGCGCGGCCTGAGAAGTGCTTTGCAGCGAATTCTGGGACCTGACCGATCCAGCGATCCCAAGCCTCGTCGGGAGCCTTCGCGTCGTAGAGCGCGTGGAAGTAGTCGGGATGTCGCGAGAACTCGTCCTCTAGCTCGCGAGCAAACGCCGCGACGCCCGTGACGTACTGCAGCGCCTGCCCCAGCCGATGGAAGTCCCAGATCGTCCGCTTGCGCGGTGGTGGCGCCTGCAGCGTGTAGACGACCTTCATGAGAATCGGGACATGATCCTGCAGACCAGGACGAGGGATGAGCTTCAATATCAAGCAAGTTGGCGCTCTTGAGCGAATCACCTTCTCGACGGACGGCGTCTGCCAAGCGAAGACCGCGACGTGGTCGATGAACGAGGCACTCCGCGCGCCGTGGTAGGTGGGCCCCACGTCGAAGTCGCTGGTCACACTCCGCAGGGCGAACCTCTCCATCAGCTCCAGCATCTCGTCACCAACGTAGTGCTGTAGTTGGCGGCCGTGCGGGCCCAGCGCGGACGAGGTCACCTGCTCGTAGACCTGTTGCCCGCACTGGCGTATGCCGAGCCCGTTGTTGAGGTCGAACCCGAAAAACAGAGCCGACCGCCCTCGCGCCCACGTCAGCGTCTTCTCGATCCAGTCGCAGAGCGCGTCGACGGTGCGCCTGCACGCCAGGTGCTGGGTGCCAGTGGGCGCGGACTCTCGGGCTGAGCGTCGGGCCGACGGTCTCGGCGGGAAATATACAGTCGGCACAAGGATGTCGAACCGTCCGTTCCTCAGGCGTGTGAGGGCGACCCGACCTCTCAGCAGCTCTGGCACAGGAGGGGTCTCCACTAGATGCGGAGATCGAAACACACGTCTGCGAAAAAAATAGTACAGCCGCAACTCTTGTTCGCGTGGGGGCTGGGACTCCAGCCTGACCGAAGAGCAGCGTGGTAGGGCAGCGTCGTACGAATGGTATCGACATCTCCTCTCCGCTCGCCCGTACCGCTCAGACAGATCACATCAACGTAGCGGAATTCAGCAGAGATATCACACAGCCTCTCCTCCGAGCTGGCGTTCTGAGCGTTCCAATGAATGAACTTCATCTCTGGGAGAGCAACAAGCCATGGCCAGAAACTCCAGAGTATCAGTAGCAGCGACAGCGCCAAGCTCGACAGCCGCCGCCGCAACATCGCAAGAGGAGGGCGCGCCATTCCTAACGCGAGGTATGCATGCGCATCCTCGGCGCGGCCGCCCCTGAAACACCGACCTCGGGCAGAGGGGGCTAGGAGAAGGAGGAGGAGGCGGACGGAGGAGCTTTGCTGTCGCGGTCGCATCGGGCTCGCCAAACCGAGCGGAGAACGTTTCCTCCTCCTCCTGCTCCTCCTCGTCCTCCTCCTCCTCGTCTATCTTCCTCATCTTCCTTACTGCTCCCTGCTCCATCCTCCTTCCTGCTCCCCACCTCCTGATCCTTCGCATCCACCGACTTCACCCAATCCTCTTTCCTGATCCATTTCATCCCTACCATTTTCCTCCCCTTGTTGGGACACCCAAAGATACCGATACCGCTACTCCCCGGACCTGTCCAGGGTTGCGTTCTGACCAGAATTTCGAAGCGTATCCGGCGTTGGAGACGCGGGCCTCCCAAGAGGCCCCAAAAAGCGAAAACGAGGGTGGGGTAGCGGTATCGGCTCGTACCTTTTCCTCATGTGATCCTCTTCGCCCTCCTCCTCCTCCTGCTGCTGCTGCTCCTCCTCCTCCTCCTCCTCCTCGTTCTCCACCTCCTCATCCACCCTGCTGCCTCCTTCCTCTTTCCTCCTTCCTCTTTCCTCCTCCTCCTGCTCCTCCACCTCGTCTCCTAGCAGGCTGACTGGAGGTGTTGATCTGCAGCTCCGCAGGGGACATGCGCGTCACCACGTGCTGCACGGTGTCTGGTGGGCGCGTTGAGCCGCAGAACGGATCACAGGAAAGGTGAGAGATCAACAATCAGAGGGAGGACGAGGAAAAGAACAAACAACTCCGAGATCCATGCGTTGTGATCGTTTCACGCCGGGCGTTTCGCCAGGCTTGAGCCCTGGAATCATCACTAATCGATCTGGCTCGAAAAAAGCGGCAGAAAGACTGGGTCTAGGACTCCAGTTGTGATCAGTCGCGATGTTGCATTTTTTCGCAACGCCGCATCTCAGGGAGGGGCAAGAGGAAGGAGTGGTGCTTGTAGGTGGTGGGAGGATGGAAAAGGAAGAGGTGGCCGAGAAGGGCGAGCAAGGGACGGAGGACGAGGAGGCGGATGGGGCCAGGAGAGAAACACGGAGGAGGATGGCGAGGGGAAGCAGGAGGACGAGAAAGTGGAGAGATAGGGGTAGGTGGGGGGACGAGAGGGGAGGGAGGAGGACAATGAGGTGGAAGGGTAATTAGGAGCAGGATGGGGGAGGAGGATGACCTCCGCCCGCAATCTTCCTCCTCGCCCTCCTACTCGTTATCCTCCTCTTCCCTCTCATGATCTGCACACAATCCTCTCCCGAGCAACGCAACACACTGCGACGACCAGAGTTTGTCCTAGCGCTCCTCGCATTGCATTCCTCCTCCCTGTGGTTTGGAACTCCTCAAACTCCACATCATACTCCGTGCCATCCTCATCCTCATCATCGTCATCTGGGCATGCTCCTCTTCCTTGCCCGACGACGCAACCGCGTGCGGCGAACTAACATCGCAACGAACACACGAATAACCACTGCGGACAATCGTCCAGCTGAGATGTGGACAGCTGAGATTCAAAGTACGAGGGGGACGAGGAGGAGGAGAAGGAGGACGACGACGAGGAGAACGACGAGGACGAGGAAAAGGAGGATGACGAGGAGGACGAGGAGGAGGAGGTGGATGAGGAGGAGGAGAAGGAAGACGAGAGCCCCTCTCTCAGCCCTCCGCCCTCCCGCGCCCCCCCGGAGGTGCGGGGCCGCGGCGGCGGGGCCTGACAGGCCCGCGCTAGCGTCCCCGAGCCTCGCCTCGGGGCGCGGCGCGGGCGAGTGGCTCGCTGCATCTCCCCCTCCCCTATCCCATCCTCGCTCAATGCTCGCCCCGTCGTCCTCGCCGTTCCCCTCTCTCCCAGCCCTCCACTTCCCACTCCTCATCCCCCATCTTCACCCGCACGATCCGCCTCCCGCTCCTCCTCTTCGCCCTCCGCCTCCGGAGCCCGCCCGCGCGACGGAGGTAGGCAACGGCAGGCCGGATCTGAGGCGCGATGTAGCCACGTCGCCTGGTCAGCCAAGAAGCTCGGCCCAGGCGGTCGAGTCGGGAACAAATCACGACCGGAGGCTTTGGGGCGTGTTCGGCCCCTGGCCTGTTCATTGGACTGCACCTGCGGCTAAAAGCCCCTGAGGGCCATCACACAAATAACAGGATTCCCTAAATTTTCCATATATTTTCAGGGTTTTTGTCTTCCCCGCAATTCCCATATTTTCCCATGCTCCTACCTAGGCTCTGCCTAGAAGCGTTCTTATTGTCTTAGCTTAAAGGGGTCGGGCAGTGGGAACCGGCCCGGGCGGTTCCCCCAGGATCCACCCCGCGGTTCCCCCAGTTGCGTCCCCTTAGCTTAGCGTTGCTTATATCATCTTAGCTTAGCGTATTTCATCTTAGCTTAGCTTAGCTTCATCTTAGCTCAGGTCTATCTTAGCTTAGCTTACCTTCATCTTAGTTTCGCCGAGCTTGATCATAGCAGAGCACAACATAGCATAGCAGAGCGTAGCGTAGCATAGCGCAACACAGCAAATCATAGCCCAGGGAAACAGAGCATAGCGGAGCATAGCATAACATAAGATAGCATAGCATAGCGCAGCACAGCACAGCACAACATAGCACAGCGCAGCATAGCATATTATAGCAAAGCATAGCATAGCACACCAGCAAAGCAACGGCAAAGCACAAACAGCAGCGACTGCAAAGCAAAGCGCAAGCAATTCAAAGCAAAGCAAAGCAAAAACAAAATCAAAGCAAAGGAAAAGGCAAAGGAAAAACAATGTGCGACAGATGCCAAGCTATTGCGTGGTGAACTCTGGAGACCCAGGGGGACCTTTGATGAGCCCTGTTGGTGAATTGATGGTGGTCGGAGGGGAGAGGGGGCATGGCCCCTCCCGCTCCTGGAAGTTCGCCCCATCAAGATATTCGGCTCCCGTTCTAGAACCACGCGTTCGCTTCGCGCGCGCTAAGGCTCGAGACGCGCCCAAGGCACTCGCATCGCAAGTTGCCAATGAGGAGGGTGTCAGTGCGAGTATGGAGCTCCTTTAGGTTTTGTGGTGGGACGTGCTACACCTAGTTGTGGGCGTCCTGGCGACGTGTGGCAACCATGATTCTTGTCCGTTCCAGATTGTGTCGCGAGAGCGCTTCTCCATACAATTAGTGTGACGTGCCGCTCGAGGTCTCATACGAATACCTTACAGCGAAAATGGAAGTTGGCATGGTCACAAAAACGGCAACTGACAATTCCCCAATCAATGCTTGCACTGAAGGGGTCCTAGCGGATATTGAAAACAGTGGCGAAAATTCCGGCCCGATTTCGGTGGGCGGCGGGGTTCCTGGGTTCCCGGTTCCGCGTTCCCGCGTTCCCGGTTCCGGGTTCTGGGCCGATTTCGGTGGGCGGCGGGTTCCCGGGTTCCCGGGCTCCTGGTCGATCTTCTTATCGATCGGTCTCACCATCGATCGCACTACCCACCTCTCTATCGATCTCACGATCGATCTCACAATCGATCTCACTACAGATCCCGATTTCGTAATCGATCTCACTATCGATCTCCTTAAATCAAATTCGCGATCGGCCTCACGATCGACCTTACAGTCGTTCTCACTATCGATCCCACTATCGACCTCAGAACCGATCTCAACATCCATATTACTAATTTCCAAACCATCCACTGATTGGGGCTTTCCCTGGTGAGATTGATAGCATTGCAATGAAGGCCTGGCCGAGATCCAGGCGACCTGACTAGATTGTTTTCCTTTCGTCTGCGCACGCAGGCACCAATCACCCGTGTGTGCATCCACTCGCCCACTCATAAGCGTCACAAGCAAATTCGATCACGTTGATCTCGAACATTTGCAGCAGGTGCGCCCTGTGCCACTACATTGTGTCGCGCAAAGACGCTGACCACATGGCTTGGTAGATCACCGCAAACGCGGTGAAGCTCATTCCGCCTCGAGCCAGGAAGCTGAGCAGGTAGGACAGCAGGGCCATCCTCATTCGACCGCTCTTTCGTCTGGACCTTTTCCCCATGTCTCCCCCCTTCTCCCCTTTTTTCCGCCTCTTCAGCACCCCCCCCGCTCATCCCTGCTCCCTTCCCGCTTCCAGTTCATGGACAGGTGCCATTGCAACAGTTTGATGCTTCGTCGTTTGCCAGCACCTTCCCGCGTGAAGGAAACATCATTCCTTCCCCACTCCTGCGCACAAGTGTGCAAGCGCATCGGGCGAACGCGGTGTTAGCAAACACCAGGGATATCAGAAAAATGAACCGATCCCCCGTCCAGGCCACGAAGTCCCCCCTGCCGAAGCAAAAGATGATTACGACTTTGCGACCGGAACAAGGCGCCATTGGCGCGAAGCGCCAATGCAGTCTTGTGTGTAAATAAACATATGTGTGTGTGTGGGTGGGTGCGCGTGTGTGTGTGTCTGTGTGTGTGACATCCTGGCCCCAGAAACCATTCCCGCTCGTTGCGATGACTTCTCTACCTGCGGATGCGTTTCATAGTGGACCTGGAACTCCCAAAGAAACCATCGTGTGATACGCAATCGGGAAATGGGAGATGCACACACATGAGAAGAAAGGGAAGAAGGAGGATCAGGTGGCGGATGACCAGGAGGATGAGCAGGAGGAAAAGGAGGAGGACGATGAGGAGGAGGATTACGAGGACGAGGACAACCAGCAGCAGCGGGAACTTGAGTGGAAGAAGCGGGAGGAGCAGGAGAAACAGGGGAAGGCGGAGGAGGGGAAAGGAGAGGGGCGTCAGCGATCAGAAGTGACCCGGATCCAGAGAAGTGGCCCGCGCTGGAGCGAAGCGCCACTCTTGAACGACGTGAGCAGCACGCCGATCCGAGAGGAGGGCCGGCGCTGCAGCGGCAGCACCGTTGCGGGACGCCAGAGACGCAGCGATTGCTGAACACATGTCGAAGACCACGACATGATGAAGTCCTTCGTAGGCCATTTTCGGGGGAGAGATGAGAATTGACAAGCGCGTTCCACTACTTGCAAAGTAACTAATCACAAATTGCCTGGATCCCCCGCGGTGGATCTACGATGAATTGCATCAAAGCAGACATCCGTTTTTCGGACGTTTGCGAGTAGGCACTTTGCAAGTAGTGGAACGAGCCTGGTGAGGGAAGAGTCTTCAGACCGAGTGATTGCGGAGGGGGCTGGCCGAGGCGGCCGGGGCCCTTACCTGGCGTCTTGCGTCCTCTCTGGGCCTCTGTGGAGGCTTCTCGTCGCCTCGGTCGGGATGGACCCAAGGGCGTGCGATGCCGACTTTGAACGGGTCTTGGGCCGGACGGGAGACCCGCCGTTGGCTCAACTGGCTGGTGACGGGCATCCTGGATGCAAAAACGTTGCTGTTCGGGCATGGACCGTCCAGGCTCAGGGCAAACCCAGCTCAGCCAGTGTATAAAACTGCGCTGCCATGGTTTGTGGGGGGCTCCCCAAGCCCGGCCCATAAGGCAAACGTGCCAAGCCACGGCCGCGAGCGGCCCCAGAACCCGGCTCGGCCAAGCTCTGGCTTTGCACGACCCGGCAGGAGCTGGCTGGCGTTCTGGCGGAGCCCCGTTGGCGCGGAGCCCCGTTACACAGCCAACCTGCACAGTAGGGGCTCAACCACAAGGAGCCCTCCACAAGAAACTCAGCTCTGAGACCCCAGGTCGTCCATCCATTTTTGGTGTGGGAGCATCACGCTTTCCATCGCAAGACCATCGAAACACAAGAACCCAGGGCACACTGGCGGTAAGCAGGGCGTTTCTTGGCATGGGTCTCCGCTGTATCATTAGGACGCATGAGAGGGATGCCAGGGCCCCTGGGAGGCCATGTCGACACTCTGCGAGCGGGGCGCGGCCCGCGAGCGCGGCCAGAGATGGGCCGACGGGGAAGGATGCAAGGGGTAACCATGGAAAGTCGCTCATCCTGAATATGCAGGTTGACTGCACTTCCTGCCAGCGTCCGCCGGCGGAATTGCCGCCGCTTCTTACTTCCGCCAGCCTTTCTTGCCGAGGGCGGGGCGCGCGGGGCACGTGCCAGGTGGCCCTCCGTCAAGAGAGGAGAACCCTGTCCCAGGGTTCCACAGTAGTGGTTCCAGTGATCTCAACAGCAGAAACCAATGGGAAGGAGATCCCATGGATTCTAGAGTAATGGTTCCAAGGGGTAAGCCTCGGAGGGCCCCAAGAGGTGCCGCAGCGGGAGGCAAGGGGGGGTGGGGGGAGGGGAGGGGGCGAGGGGAGGGGCCAAGCTGGGTGCGCAAGCGTCATATCTGACGTCCTATCCCTCCATCCCATCCCTTACCGTTGCGTAGATCTCCTGTCTATTCGCACGGTCGGATGTCGAACAGGGCAATGCTCCCGAGAGAACGCAAGATGCATGGTATAGCACGACATAGCATGGCATAGACGAGCACGGCCACAGCCGACGTCGTCGCGTCGAGAACGCGACTCGTTTCGACAACAAGGCCTGAGGGAAACCAGAAATGACACAGGACGGGAAATGCAGACGCACGCTTTGGAAATCGGGAAGCGCAAAATGCTATCAACGCTGCAGCGGGAGCACGAATTCGAGGGACCGAAACCGCGGAGGAGAGACCAGTGCTGCTGTGGGAACATGATTTGGAAGAACTGGAAGCGTGGAGCCGAAGCCAACGCTGCAGCAGGAACATGTTTTGGACGAAGCGAAATAATGAAATGAAGTCAGCGCTGCAACGGGTGCGCGATTTGCAAGGATTGAGACCGGGAAAATGGAGCCAACGCTGCAGCGGGAGCGCCAATCTGCAAGGACTGCGCAAACGTTCGGATTGGAACAACACGTATCACATACGGTGTGAACAAAACAATGCGCGGGGGAGGCCAGGGCACCTCACCAGCGTCTTCGGGGGAGAGAGGAGAGTAGTATTCATAGTGTTTTTCAATTAAACAAACCATACAGACATAAACGTTTGGGGCTCCGCGCGGAGCGTAAAAAAGCACTGTGCCTATGGCGTTGTCATCTTCTTCGAGGGGAGGAGGGCGAGGGGGGTGGCAAGCTAGTTGCGCTAACGTCATATCAGACGTCCTACCCTTCCTTCCGATCCCTTACCCTAGCGTAGATCTCCTCTCTATTCACACAGTCGGATGTCCTAGCGGAGCCTAGCACTACATGGCAAAGCATGGTGTTGAAGATCAACGCGCATCCTGATACAATTAGCATGGCGTGGCGACGCCCCAAAGTGTTTGTGTGGGGGGGGCTTCTGCGGTCGGGGGGGGGAAGGGGGGCCACGGGGGGCGGGAAAGGAGAGGCGGGAGAGGGGGGGATGAGCGGAGCGGCGCAGAGCGGAGAGGGGGCAGGTCGAGAGAGAGAGGGGTGAGCACGGGGCGCCGGCGAAGAACAGTATATAATAAACTGATGCCCCCAAGAGGCCCCCAAGAGGCCCCCAAGAGGCCCCCAGAAGCCCCGAGAGGCCCCCAAGAGGCTCTCAAGGGGCCCCCAAGAGGCCCCCAAGAGGCCCCTAAACTGTCCCCCAGAGGCCCCCGAGAGCTCTTCGAAGAGACCCCAAGAAGCATCCATGAGAACTCTGACCCACCTCATCGTCGTCGTCGTCGCCGCCGCCGCCGCCGTTGTCGCCGTTCCCCTTCAGGGTCGGCGGCACCGGCCGCGAGGCCTTCGCAATAAACTGCCGTCGGGGACGCCTCCCCCCCGGGCGGATGCAGAATTTATACCCCTGCGGCGCCACGCGAGGGCACGAGCTTTCCAGCTGCCCGGGTCCAGCTGCCTGGGGGGTCACGCGGCCCCGACGGCGAAGACGTCTACTCTGTACTAGGGGGCAAGCAAACCTACCTCGCTTTTGACCACCCTCGCTTCCAAGAGATACCAAGCGATGCCAAACTACGGCCTGTACTGGTCAGGCCGCTTGACGAGGAGGCGCGTGGTATGACTTGGTTTTGCCTGGAAGCGAAAGCGGGGTAGGTAATTCACGCTCTGATGTACCGCTCTTCGCCCGCCAACTCCTCCTCTTCCCCCGCCTCTTTCCTTCGACGCGTTGCCGGGCCAGCCCTGGCCCGCGGCGTCGGAGCGCGCGACCCGCCTCGTGCGGCACGGCCGTGCCCGACGAGCGCAGCGGAACGACCCCGACGCAGCCCAAGCCCGCCAGCGAGCATCGGGCCCTCTCCTCCTCCTCCTCCTCCTCCTCCTCCTCCTGCTCCTCCTCCTCTTCCTCCTCCTCCTCCTCCTCCTGATCCTCCTGCTCCTCCTCCTCTTCCTCCTCCTACTCCTCCTGCTACTCCTCCTCCTCCCGCCTCCACCTCCCTGCCTGCCCTTCCCCTCTTCCTCGTGACTACCGGGGCAGGGCGCGGACGGACTCGAGCAACTCAGGGATCCCTGCGAGCCAGCGAATCCAAAGGATTAATGGAAGCGGAGGCCGTTGCAAAGCGCTCCAGAACGCTCTGAACACCTGCGGAACGAGTCCCATCATTCGAGCCCTAAGCTGCCCAATCCTTCTCCTCCTCCTCCTTCTCCTCCTCCTCCTCCTCCTCCTCCTATCTCCTCCTCCTCGTCATCCTCCTCGTCCTGCTCCTCCTTCTCCTCCTCCGTCTCCTCCTTCTCCTCCTCCTCCTCCTCCTCCTCCTCCTCCTCCTCGTCCTCCTTACTGTACGTCTCCTCTGTCGCCCGTTCTGCTACTCGCCCTCTCTGTTTTGGTTTCCCCTCTATAGTGTGTCCTCCGATGAACTCATCGCCATGAGCTTCGTCGGCTGGCTCCCCGCCGCAATCTTCGGCAGGCCCGACTCCGATGTCTGCACCTCGCGGGGTCTGCCGAGAGCTGCGGGGGAGGGAAGGGCGGGGGGAGGGAGGACAAAACCATTTCTTTGCCGTTTCTGTGTTCCCGCTTCTTTGCCGATTCCGGCGCGTTTGTTTCCGGTTCCGTCGCAATTTGTCTGCCGATTCCGGTTCTCGCTTCAATCCCTGATCTGATGTGCAAGGGGGATGGGGGATGGGAGAGGAGATCTGATCTGCTACAGCAAGTAATCATGGACGATACTGCCGATCTACTTGAAACTCTGAGGGGTCCTTACACGAACCATTCAGTCGGAGGGAGGACGAGAGGGAGACGGGGGGAGAGGAATCAATGCTTGGCTTCGATGCGTCTTCGATTCTGATTTCGATGTGTAGTTCCAGAAGCGCCATGTAAATATTATAGGATCGCCACGGCAGCATCGGGCGTTCAAAGATTGAGTACCCGAGCCTGGCAGGTGCATTCCCGAGGAGAAAATAGGGCGAACTGGTGCTTGCAGTTGCATGCCTGATGTTTCAACGCTTCAGCGTCAGGGTGGGAGGCGAGGAAGGGAGAAGGAGGAAGAGGAGGAGAAGGATAAAAAAGAGGAGGAAAGGGAGGAGGAGGAGGAAGAAGAAGAGGATGAGGGGAAGGGAAGAGGAGGAGGATGGAAAGGAGAGGAGGAGGAAAAGTAGGAGAGACAGGAGAGGAGGAAAAGGAGGGGGAGGAGGAGGAGGAAAAGGAGGGGTAGGAGAAGAGGAGGAGGAAAAGGAGGAGGAGAGGGAAGAAGACGACGACGACGACGACGACGACGACGACGACGACGACGACGACAAGGACGAGGGCAGTGACGGGGGCCAGGACCAAGGCTGCGGACGAGGAGGAGGAGAGGAGGAGGAGGGGGACAACGACGACGAGGCCGAAGACGGCGACGGGGCATTGGATGCATCCGCCTCCGGCCAGTCAGGCTATCTGGTGTAAAAGTTGCAGCGGCACCAGAGCGCGACGATCGCAACAGTCCAGTGCGTCCCGTGCTGCAGCGAGGATCCACCGCAGGGGCTCGGGAGCAGGCGATGCAAGGACGGCGCACGCGGGGGCTGTGCCGCCACCCGGACGTCCAAAGGCGCCGCCCCTGGCGGAGCAGGCGCGGCCGTGGCCGCAGGGGAGGGGGGCCTGGCGGCTACGACAGGCAACGACATGGGGGGCCTCCTCCTCCTCCTCCTCCTCCTCCTCCTCCTCCTCCTCCTCCTCCTCCGCCTCCTCCGCCTCCTCCGCCTCCTCCTCCTCCTCCTCCTCCTCCTCCTCCTCCGCCTCCTCCGCCTCCTCCTCCTCCTCCGCCTCCTCCGCCTCCTCTACCTCCCGGGGCTCTCCCTCGCCGTTCATGAGGGGCAACGTCAGGGGGGGACAGGCTCAGGGGGCATCACATCGACTTGGAATCGGCGATACCTCGCTACTGGATCGGCGACAGGCATCCGAAATATAGATCCGCGCGCTCCTGGGCGGGGAGGGGGCCTGTCGGGCCCTCGTCGGCGATGCATGGGCGATGGGGGGTCGATGCATCCGCCCTTGAGCCCATCCCCCCGCAACTCTGTGCCCGAGGATTGTGCAAGCCGTGGAGCTGCGCGGGGCTGCCCATCTCGGTGAAGCGCTCGATCGGCATCGAGCTGAGCCCAGCCCGGTGGCAGAACAAGCGGCTGCCACATCGAGTCCAACAGAGCTCTCGCAGTGACACCTTCGATCTGTGTACATACGGATTGACGTGCAAAAGCAGCCAAACGAGCACTCAAACAAGCAAATAAAAACAAAAGCACGCACGCGGTGCCTCTGGGGCAGGCACTTGGGGCAGCGCGCTGCCACGCTGGGTTCTGCTCTATCCTCGCCCCTGGGCCCGTTCTCGGACGGCGTCGAGATCCCGCCCTCACCCTCAACGGCGCTCTCCAACGCGACACCACGCTGCCGGGGTGCCAGGGGTGGCCCTGGCCTAAGGTGCTGTCGGCTTCTCGCGCCGTCCCCGAGGAGTCCCCCTTGGGCCTCTTCTCATCTGCGGGGCGAGGGCGAACCTCTTCCGCCAAGAGCCAGGCGGGCTACGCACAGCTCCGATCAGGGAGACAGGGCACAGGAAGGCGGGGCCTCAGGCGGCCGGAGCGGGCGGGGCCAACCCTCTGGGTCTCCCGAGGGGTGCTCTGGAGGCCACCCGAGCCTGCCTGGGAGCCCCGGGGGCCACCTCGGGCCAGAGGTCCCTGCTGGCACCGCCCGGCGCGTGGCGTGCGAGGCCCTGGCCGGGGCGGCGATGCCCGCCCCCGGACACCCGATGCTCAGAGGCTTCGAGACGGGCTCCCCAGAGGTCCCGACCCCTGTTTGCATCGTGAGTCATCATTCCTCCTCCGCCTGCTCCTCCTCCTCCTCCTCCTCCTTCTCCTCCTCCTCCTCCTCCTCCTCCTCCTCCTCCTCCCTCCCCCCTCCTCCCTCCCCCCTTGTCCTCCTCCTCCTCCTCCTCCTCCTCCTCCTCCTCCTCCTCACGATGAGTCCCCAGGGCCAGGTCTTCATCGTGAGCCATTCCTCGAAAGCTCCCGGGGCCCGATGAGGGCCCCAGACGGGCTGCCTCGCAAGTAGATCGCATGGCCCATGCGCCCAGGTCTCCGAGGATGTGATCTTGTCCACTGGCGTTGCTTCCTCGACTTCGGGATTCGTATTATGTCGGGCATGTCCCCCATACAGGCGGGTTTCGGACGAAAAATCAAACATTGTCAAAACAATTCAAACATTGTCGAAAGTAGTCGAACAATGGTCCCCAGACTATTCTTTGACAATTGACTACTCCTCCTGCAGAGGGACACGTCCGACTTAAGACTCGTCGGGGGCGTCCAAGGAGGGGGACGTCCAGAAGGGGCGGGGGCGTCCAAGAGGGGAACGCCCACCGAAAGGGGGGGACGCAAATCATGGCCCGCGGCATGTGCGCGGCCCCCGGGGGAACGAGGGACCTTATATATATATATATATATATATATATATATATATATGTATATATGCATACATACATACATACATACATACATACATACATACACACACATACATACATACATACATACATTTACATACATACATGCATACATACATACATACCTACCTACCTACCTACCTACCTACCTACCTACCTACCTACATACACACAAACTCATACATACATACATACATACATGCATACATACATACATACATACATACATGCATATATACTTACATACACACATACATACATACATACATGCATGCATGCATGCATGCATGCATGCATACATACATACATACATACATACACACATACATGCACATGCATACATGCATACATGCATCCCTGCATCCCTGCATCCCTGCATCCCTGCATCCCTGCATACATGCATACATGCATACATGCATACATGCATACATGCATGCATGCATACATGCATACATGCAGACATGCATACATGCATGCATGCATACATGCATACATGCATACATGCATACATGCATCCCTGCATCCCTGCATCCCTGCATACATGCATACATGCAGACATGCATGCATGCATACGTGCAGACATGCAGACATGCAGACATGCATACATGCATACATGCATACATGCATACATGCATACATGCATACATGCATACATGCATACATACACACACATACGTACATACATACATACACACATGCATACACACATACATACATACACACATACATACATACACACATACATACATACATACATACATGCATATATACATACATACATACATACATGCATGCATACATACATACATACATACATACATACATGCATGCATGCATGCATGCATACATACATACATACATCCATACATACACAAACATACATGCACATGCATACATGCATACATGCATCCCTGCATCCCTGCATCCCTACATCCCTGCATTCCCTGCATACATGCATACATGCATACATGCATGCATGCATGCATGCATACATACATACATGCAGACATGCATACATGCATGCATGCATACGTGCATACATGCATACATGCATGCATGCATCCCTGCATCCCTGCATCCCTGCATACATGCATGCATACATGCAGACATGCATCCCTGCATTCCTGCATACATGCATACATGCATACATGCATGTATGCATACATGCATACATGCAGACATGCATACATGCATGCATGCATACAAGCATACATGCATACATGCATCCCTGCATCCCTGCATCCCTGCATCCCTGCATACATGCATACATGCATGCATGCATACATGCAGACATGCATACATGCAGACATGCATGCATGCATACATGCAGACATGCATGCATGCAGTGCAGACATGCATACATGCATACATGCATACATGCATACATGCATACATGCATACAGACATACATGCAGACATGCATCCCTGCATCCCTGCATCCCTGCATACATGCATACATGCATACATGCAGACATGCATACATGCATGCATGCATACATGCATACATGCATCCCTGCATCCCTGCATCCCTGCATCCCTGCATCCCTGCATGCATGCATGCATGCATACATGCAGACATGCATACATGCAGACATGCATGCATGCATACATGCATACATGCATACATGCATACATGCATACATGCATACATGCATATATACATACATACATACATGCATATATACATGCATACATGCATGCATACATACATGCATGCATACATGCATGCATGCATACATGCATGCATGCATGCATGCATACATGCATGCATACACACATACATACATACATACATACATGCATGCATACATACATACATACATACATACATACATACATACATACATACACACATGTATTGGAATGTTTTCCAACCTTCAGTTAAAAGGTTGAGGATCTACTTGTGAGGTCTAGGGGGCGCCCAGCGGCCGCGCGGAGTCCCAGGGGCTCTCGTAGGCACATCCTCAGGGACCAAGGGACGTACTGAAAGAAGAAGAAGAAGCAGAAGAGGCACCATGCCATCTTGG